CGCTGCGGGGTGCCCAGCCCGGCTCGCCGGCTGTCAGCTGCCCAGCACCGCAGCGGCACCGTTTCAGCGTAGAGCCCCGCAAAGGCTGCAAGTGGGGCAGAGCACTGGTGCAACAGGGCCATGGGCACCCAGCATGGGGGGTCCCAGCCCCATGGCAGTGCCCAGCCCTGCCCACCATGCCACGCTCACCCTCTGTGGGCTCCTGCACCACGTCGAGCACCGTCACCGACTGCCTTGTCTGCCAGGTGAGCTGGGGAGACCCAGAGGTCAGGGTCAGGCCCCCTCCAGGGAAACTGAGGCAGGGAGATTGAGGGACAAGCCCACCCTCCCACCCCTGCTGGGCACAGTGAGCGGCTGTGACATCCCATGCTGAGTCCTGTGCCAGCAGCACAGGGTGGCACAGCTGTGCCCAGTGCCTGCGGGGCCCCGCTCACCATGCGCAGGCGCAGGCACTGCCGGTGGGGCCCCCCCAGGCCTCCCTCCAGGTAGAGCAGGAGCTGGCCATCAGGGCTCAGCCGGGGGGAGCAGGCGGAACTGTGCTCAGCCGACAGCAGCTCTGCAAGTGGCAGGGGGTCAGTGCCCCGGGGACACCCAGGACCCAGGGCCCCCCCTGAGTCCCCAGCACTCACCACACTGCCTGCTGGCCAGGTCCAAGTGGAAAATCCCTGACCTGGGGAGGAGGCGCAAGTCAGGCTGGAGTCAGCACGGGGTGCGCATCCTGGCACGGTGCTGGGTACCCCAGGGTACCCACCTCCGGTTGGAGCAGGCGCTCAGCCCCAGGCGGAAAGGCTCATGCCACCAGCCCACGAACACCACGCTGCGGTCATCCAGAGACCACAGGGCCTGTGCAACAGCCAGGCTTGTCCCACAGCCCTGGGCTGGCCCTGCCAGGGCTCTCCCTGCACCCCGTCCTGACCTGGCCAGGGGAGAGGTGCTCCGGGATGCCCTCCAGCACTGAAAGGCTGCTGCTCTCCAGGTCCAGGGCGCAGAGGACAGGTATGCTGCGGGTGCTCAGTGCCTCCCCCCAGTCCTCATGGTACACGAACTGCTCGCCCTGTGACTCAGCCCTGTCAGCCCCACGGCTGGTGGCCCCAAGCACGGGGCTCCATGTATGGCACACTCATGGGGTGCATGGCACACTCATGGGGTGCATGGCACGCTCATGGGGTGCATGGTGTGCTCACAGTGTGCATGGAACGCTCATGGGGTGCACAGCATGCGTACAGGGCACACAGCACATTCATGGGGCGCATGACACCCACCTCCTCATCTTCGTCCTCCTCCGCTGGCCTGGCTGCTCCCAGCACATCCCAGGGGCAGGGGGGCCGTGGTTTGGGCCGGCTCTCCCCGCCCACATAGAGCAGCCGTGTCTCTGAGCGGGACCAGGCCAGACAGGCGAAGGGCCCTGGCACAGTAAGGGGCTGCCAAAGCCCATCCTGGCGCAGGCACAGCTGCACTCCGGGCAGGCACAG